TTTTTTTTTTTTTTTTGCATTGGAAAAGTTTATTTCTACTCAAGGTTTGAATTTAACAACTTATAACATTAGTATGTATTAGATGTGTGTCTCTCTGCATATAAACTGTTTATTAGACTTTATGCACTAAAACAATTCTGTGTAAGTTGTCCAATATATTAAATTTTAAAAAAATATTAACAAACAGAAATTAAATAATTGAGTGATGTACGATGAATTTTGAAATAAATCAATGTTACATTTTCAGGTTTGTACCACTACTTTTACCAAGGCCATTCCTCTAAAATATTTACGAAGTTGACTGTATAACGAGTGCGTTGAATTCTTTTAATCGTTTTTTTCTACCATTACTCTCAAAGCTGTAAAAAATCTGAAAGATGTCGACAGGAACTAACCCAATCGATTTAACAAAATCGTAATTTAACATGTTTTCCATTGCACAAAAAATAAATACGTCATATTCTTACCAGTGAAAAGAATGCTAGCGACAAAGTGGGAAGCATTTGATTGGCTTTGATTATCACTGGCTTCTGAGATTGCATAATAAATTGTAATATGCATGTTTTTGATTTTTTTTCCATGCGATACCAATTACAATGGAACGCCTCAACACCAACTAGATTCCCCTAAAAAAAAGAATCAATTGATTTTTTGGCCTCAATATACACATTTTTATTAGAGAGGTTTTATGGTATAAAACTGTCCCACTAAATTTATACTAAAAAAAGTTTCTTCACGATATTTACAAAAATAACCACAAATTTCCACAATGGATTCTTATTCATTATATACCAAAACCTTGTTCACGATGTTCAAGTCACTTGCATCTATACTAAACGATATCTTTATTTTCTACTACTGAAAAAATTGATCATTTATATATAATCATGAACTACCTGGATCTGAGTTAAATGAGGCTTGGATTCATAGCTTATTATAAAGGACAGTCTGAAAAAATTAGAAGTTTCCTATTTCATCGATCTGATTATGTTACCATTATAGCTGTGCACCATGATTTATAATATAAATAAGTGTTTTACTGAACTTTATATAAATCCCTAAATTTTATGTTTCCGTTTTCCCAATAATAGGATGATATAAAAAAAAATGTTTTGCTATTGACATGAATTTCCTTATTGAATGTTCGAAAATTTACACAGATTTCTATTGCGCTAAATACTTATATTTTATAAATTGACTGTATTTCTCTTAATTTTTACAAAACCATTAAACCTCCCCAAGTCTTACTCATTGCGAAAAGTTTACCTTTTCAAGTAAATGGTCTGCTGCCCACGAACACGTATAAAGACCTACACTAGCTGTAATAGCAACAACAGTATACTGTCCTTTGATTGCTAATGTTTGATCCTTTAAAATACCACACAGTTTTTATTACAAAAATGGTTGTAACTCAGATATCGTTACAATTGGATAAGTATATACTTTTGATTTTTACATACGCTTACGAGCTGAATCAGACTAAACAATACTCCACCAACTGAAGTTATCAATGTTGCAAATACAAGAAGATCAACAGTGTTTTTTACATCATCAGTGTACCTGTGAAGTAAATTGTATTCATTGTTAAAAAAAAATCTCCAAAAATCTTCCTAAGTTGTTGATCCAAAATTGTCCACGTATTATTCACTGAATGTGACCACAGAAAATAGGTTTTTAACGAAAAATTATAAAAATAGTTATAATGAGACTCCACGCGGGGCCTGTTTGCACGGAAAACGGATAAACCGCGTCCGTTGGGGCATGAAGGTGTCATACGTAAAACAACGCTTTTAATAAAAGTTATTAAAAAAAAAAAAAAGTTTTTTTTAATTATTTGTGTCCTGGAACAAATATTCAAGTATTTTTATGCGTATATTGAGTTTAAAAAAAGAATACTATAGATATATTAATTGTTTACTCCATAGTAAATAACCTCGATAAATCTTTAACTTATAGAACTCATTTTTTTTTTTTAAATCGTAAGTTCCTCTCCAAATTTTTTTCATCGTCTCGTCATGTACCTAAATAAACACAAATGCTTGAGATCAGATGCATGAATCATCGTAAATTTTAAACCATTATGTCTTATGGATAACAATCATTGCAATTTTTATAAAAATTATACCTTAAATTTGTGCAAAATTAAAAGTTTCCTCATCAAATAAGTGCTTTTAAGATACTCCATACATCTTGTCATATTATAATTGTAAACTCCTTGACATCCCTTTTCTCACCTTCTTCACTATTATTATCTGCATATGTAGCCTATCAATCAATTATCAGCCTGTTCCAGCATGTGTTCCCTTCCGTGAAGCCACGGAACAACCATAGAATTTCATCGATTGATTCGAATAATAAAGCTAAACTGGATAATTAATCCCAAAGGAAATGTTATTTCGAAGAATTTAATACAGGAATGAAATGTAGTTTTTATTCTCATTTTTCCTATCTGCAAAAAAATCATTGACACGTAAATGAAAAAATTTTCGCTCTTCAATGAAATATTAGAAAACGAATGCAGGGACTGGAGTGCTTAAAAGGACACTGAAAAGTGCTTGGCATGTATACTTATACCATAGTATTGAAATGTTTTATGAAGCCTTACGAATCACCTCATAGCTGGCAATATTTACTCTGTCATGGCTTGCAAGATAATAATAAGTAATACAAGGAATTGCTTAAGTTGAAAAATTAAACGTCCAGTTTGCTGGTATTTGTATTAGCGATGGGCACAAAAAGGCCGTATCAAGTGAAACATTTCTGTGACAGACTGAACACCCTCACAACTATGTGGTGCATTCTGCAAAACCCCTGTGCTTTTTATATTAGAAGTTAATTAATTCGTTAAATGCAGTTGATTAAAGATTAATATATTTGTTCTTAAAATATCTTTACAAATTCAAAGTAACTTTTTTAGGAAAACACTACATAGATACAACCCTAGTCTATGTGGAACCACCGTAGCAGTGTTGTTACATAAAATCTTTCGTAAGCAGAAAATCTGCAGTTTTCATTAGGTAATGCAAAAACAAGCACCTGAATAACTTTATGGGAAGGACCTACATCGAAAAAGTGTTTAGACAAAAGTTATATAACTTTTAGGGGGACATTGACTAATTTTTTATCCCAGATTTCGAAAAAGCAAATAATTGTACGTTCAACTATAATATATAACAATGAACAATGAAGGTAATTTAAGGTCATTTTACGGTAAACGTGTCCGTAAAAATGGAATTTAAATCGTCTCATCCCACGCAAATGCTCCAAACTTAGGTTAAAAGTAAATAAATAAATAAAAATAAGATAATTTTTGTTTGGGTTCAGATCCAATTATTTGTATTGTTTTAATAGGCGAATAAATCAAATATTATCTTTTAAGATCATGTTAATTCGATATTGCTACACTTGAAGGAGTTTGTTTTTTTTTAAACTCTGACAAACAAACTACGTAATCTGTCTCATCCAAACACAAACAAAAACATGGGCCACAGATATGTAACAATCAATCTTTTAAGATAAAATGTGTGTGTGCGTGTGTGGTTTGATCATATAAAGATGGATAAGATAACTTACATTTCGGTTACAATTTATATTTCTCGCAATTTACCAAAAATACCAAGATTCAAGTATATAAATATACTCATTACTTAACATTTTTCATCATAATAACATGCAGAGCAGTAAAATATGAGAAGGTACTGGATAAAACCTGGAATGCCAAAATGTATATCAATGCAAAATGTCAAAAAGTTAATTGTGTAAAGTGATATCAATATAGTCTTTACATTAAAGTAGTATTTCAGAGACAATTCTTTAATTAAACCTGGAATGTTGACTGTCACGGGTTTTTGTGCTCTGTGGATAATGGTTATCCAATTTTTAGTGATGGCGCCCGATGAATTACGTATCCACAAAGACGTGTAAGCCACATCAGATAACTTCCTGCACTACATTGTTTTCAACATTGTATTACTTTACTCTTCGTCAACTATATGCAATTATTGATGTATGATTGTCAAAGATTACCATGACTATCAAGTTATCAGCAGGTAGAGCTGTCACGTACAAGTTGATACCAGCACTGATGGAAACAATAGCAAATTGTCCTTTCACGAACATTGGTTGAGGCTGGAAAAAGTATAATTAGAATCGATTACAATGCCAGAGGCTGAAAACTTGTACTTACGCTGAATAGATATATTCCAGCAAATGCTAGTCCCGCCGTTACGGAAAACACTGTGGCAAAAAGTACGTAGCGAAAAGCTCCTACGAGCTCCTTACCGTATCTAAAAGCTTTCAAGTGATTAAAGATTTCCAACGACAAACTCAGCATTGTTATCAAGCGAGAAAATGAATGACCTCAGTACTTTTTGATGTTCTCGGATGCACTGGTACATCTCCTGCATGTTTTGAATCTTTTCGAATTTCCGGCACAGCAGCTCGAATCTGATTCCCGTGAACCAAAGGAGAAAAGCCACGAAGCCGTCGACGCACATACCCGCGGAAGCTTGAAACCCAGCGATGGCTTGGTGCACGTAAGTGAGACTCCACGCGGGGCCTGTTTGCACGGAAAACGGATAAACCGCGTCCGTTGGTAATGAATAGGGTAAAAATATGGGACCGCAAATCACAAACAACGAAGCTCCGTAACAGCACAATGTGATGACCATGTGAAACGGCGCTCTTTTGCTGACATACTTCTGACACATTCGTCGCTCGCGCAACTTTGCCGTCTTCAGAAAGTCGTCCAACTCTTTCAACAACAACTGCAAGTGTGTGTCGAAATTAACGTGTAATCGAGAGGAAGAGGCAATTATCAACGCACTGTATGGTAAATACCTGAATTTTTTTTCGATTCACCCGGCAAACGACAGTTTTCATGATGACCTGCGTCACGGCACAAGACAGACACACGGACTTCGACACAACGATGGGATTATCCTTGTACACGTAAATGGATGCGAGAAGCGGCAACAGCAGGCACATTGAGCTTAAAACAGAGCAGCACCAAACCAAGTCCACAAGTTTCATTCGCAATCCTTTGGTTTTGATGTCTGATGGCCAGACGGCAGCCAGCACGACACTCATTTTCGTAAACGCCAAAGCTTTCTCAGGCGATACTCGAGGCTTCGTTGTACACCTCGTTATTTTCATTGAAATGCCTAGATGGATGCAGCACGTATTATCTCAGCACATATATGAAAATAACAGGCTGTAACACTTGCCTTTTGAAGTGCGCTAAAGCACTTCTTCGCCTCGAGAATTTAATTAACGGGGAAGCCAATGCTTTACAGCACGTTTTACACCGACTTGTCGATAGTAGTTGGGAAGTTTGATGAATTAAAAATGAGATGTGGCTGCTATTACGAGCAATTTTCTTGTACGAAAGCAACAACGTACTTTGTAATTATGTTGCATTGAATTCGACGGATGTTGTATCGCGCACGTACTTTATGGGCTCACCTTGTACTGGAGAAAGAGTCATCATTTGAATGTTATCTATGTCTGTCGTGTTTAACAGAAAGGAGGTGTTTTTTTTTTTTTTTTTGCATTGGAAAAGTTTATTTCTACTCAAGGTTTGAATTTAACAACTTATAACATTAGTATGTATTAGATGTGTGTCTCTCTGCATATAAACTGTTTATTAGACTTTATGCACTAAAACAATTCTGTGTAAGTTGTCCAATATATTAAATTTTAAAAAAATATTAACAAACAGAAATTAAATAATTGAGTGATGTACGATGAATTTTGAAATAAATCAATGTTACATTTTCAGGTTTGTACCACTACTTTTACCAAGGCCATTCCTCTAAAATATTTACGAAGTTGACTGTATAACGAGTGCGTTGAATTCTTTTAATCGTTTTTTTCTACCATTACTCTCAAAGCTGTAAAAAATCTGAAAGATGTCGACAGGAACTAACCCAATCGATTTAACAAAATCGTAATTTAACATGTTTTCCATTGCACAAAAAATAAATACGTCATATTCTTACCAGTGAANTTAATTTAAATATTATATTTATTTTTAACAATAATTTATTATGTAAGGCATTTAATAATATTAAAAAATACAATAACAAAATACATTTGGAATAGTTCAATTTTTAACACTATCATCATCTTCTTCAGGATTTCTTGATTTAATAAATTTACTGAAAAACAAAACAGTTGCTAAGTACAATTTCATTTTCTAAGAGACATGAGTTTTGTTAACATGTAATACTCACTAATAAAGTAATGTTGGCATCAACACAACCAGAACAGATAATGTTGTTGTTGCAATAACCAATATCATGGTGATGGCTGTCTTGGTTGGATTGTCACTGGGCGAAATTAGTCTCGGTCCTTCATTTTTCTGTTCCGAATAATTTTTAGCAAAAACATTTTTTATTTAGCCACAAAAATTAGTATTAATTAACGTGTATAAAGTAGCATCTGAGCCCGCATACCCCGTGCTATTTTTCTTTTTAAGGGTGACTAAAGCACGACATAGTTGGCATGTAAAGTATTAGAGTAATCGGCTAAACGAAATGACATATTTAAAAAAGTTCCCAATTGACAACTAAGTAAATTAAAGGCTTTTCCAGAAGTAAAAAAAGTGTTTTGGTATTCTTCAGCTATAGCACAACCTTATTTAGGTAACGTTCATCGATTATTTTTGTTTAATTTAATTGTTTGATAACCAGTAGAACTAATTTCTTTTCATAAAAGTTTTGGATCTGGTTAGCACTGTTACTTTATTTATATCACCCAATTGAGTGTACCGGTGGTATTTGATCAGAAAATGTCTGAAAAGTTAAAGTATGGCTCGACATGCAAGCCGCTGAGTGTCAAATTTTGGGTGTTAGATAACACAGGACCACAAAAAAAAAAATAAGTTGAAGGGTCCCTTTCAGCAACAATGCATTTCTTATGTATTTTGAGGCGCCGACTTCATTCCCATTGTCTAAATTGCTCTATCACATCACAATTCGTTTTTATTAACGAAAAACATGTCCATAAGCGGCAATGCTTTTATTTCAGTAATTAAAGTAGTCCCCATGTTAACAAGTGTAAAAAATTGTGATGTGATAGAGCAATTTTTAATCAAGATTCCCACTCCCCTCAGTAACGAGTGGTATCTGTCGAAATAACACCTCAAATCCTTGAAATTTTTGCAGTCTCCAATTGTTAAAGCCATTATCTCAAACCTAGCGCACACAAACCATATCAACATGGCCACAAGACAATCGAGCAAAACAGCAGCTGAAGTTTGAAGGCCAACAAGTGACTGATGAGCATAAACCAACGCATTAATATAAACATTATCTAACGGAAAAGGGTACACAGCATCAGTTGGAAAACTTTGTGAAACGAATAAAGGCATGATGATGAAGGAAATTGATGTTAAGTAAGTCCATGCTGTAACGTAGAAATGCAAGCCTGTGCATTGAGTGACGTACTTTTCAAGGATTTGTTTTTCGAAAGGGTTAATGCCACTTAAAAAATCTTCCATTTCTTCGAGTATTTTCTGAACAACAGTTATTTGATTATTAAAATTATTCTAATTGTGTAGTATATTTTTTACTTGGTATTATGTAATATTGTAGATAAGTATTAGCTTATTCCTAATAATAACAAGAATTTATATCTAACTTTCATCAATTAAATACTTTGACATTTGATGATTCAAAAAAAATTTCGTTAAATACAATGAATACGATTACTACTTAACGAGTAATTATTTAATAGTTATTAGTCAGTTTACAACAACTTGTGTAGTAAAGTTAATCTATTTTTTTTTTCCTAATTAAAGTTCAAAAATTTTTTAGATAAAGGTTAAAAATAAAACGAGTACAAACCTGTAATTGTTTACGTCGTATCCTGCAAAAAAGCATCTTTATTGTAGTTTGACTGACCGCGCAGAAAAGGCAGATCGATTTTGTCATGATTTGTGAATCGTTTTTGTGCACAAAAACCGACGCCAAAAGTGAAAATTGCAAACATATGGACGACACAAACATCGCCCACCATGAGAGGTCAAAAATCAAATTTTGTACTTTGCTGGCACTTTTCGTAGGTGGCCAGCAGCGCAATAGCAATACACTGTACTTGGTAAAGTTAATAGCTCTAGAAAGTTTCTTTGAATGTTTCATTTTAAACCGATCGAAATTATGTTTTGCACCAATTTTCAAGTAAAGTGGCCGAGTTTTTAGATTCAATACATTTATTATTACAAATGTGGGTATTTTTATAATTTTTTTGTGTTCACTAGTATATTATATGTTGCGGTAAAAAAGAAAAATTTGTAGAGATGATGTTACGTCCAGCTGAGCAAAGGTATTCTATTAAGATCTGCTCGATATTCCGTAATAAGACT